CTTTTTCTTCTAGGTCCATCTGAGTGTGGGCTGGGCTATACAACTTGGCATTCCCTTTTCTAAAGGGTTGAACCTGAGGCCCCAAATTTTGGAAGCCTCATACTCGAACCCCTGGGAGACCTGACGTTCTTTATTGTACCGCAGCTTGAGTCTTGACAGGTTTGATTGTCAAATTGAAGTATTTCTGGATTTCTACCATTATGATTTTAGAACCCTCTAACTCTAACAGTTGGATCTGTTACATGGAGATACCATTTTCCTAATCAGAGTAAAGGGAAATAAGGTCATTCCTGTTAATTTAGTAACTTTAGCTTTATACTCATGAATCATTGTCAACAAGTAGGCTCCCCTATAATTGTTAATGAACAAGGTGATCCAGAATCCAGTAGCACTCTGTCTTACAGTCTAGCTTTCATGGTGTTCTAATAATGCCCTAGGAACAATGATCTGAAGTGGTCATTTTTTTCACAATATTTCAATGAGGACTTTTGATGATTAATTCTTTTGGCCAAAAATTCTTTTTGAGGTTGTGGTGGATCATTACCCTGAGATTAAGTTGATGCTAAAGAATTGATTCTTGTTTTATATCCAAAGATATGTTCAGTCTACAGGGTAGGTACTGAATGGTTGCATTCCTTGTTCTTTCCCTTTTCTGTCTATCCAGATATGCATCTTTTCTATTTTCTTTTTTTTTTTTTCAATAAAAAATGATGTTTAAATTTGCAAATTTGTTTATTGAAGTGAAGAAATTCCTGATTCAAGTCTCAATATGGTGGTAACATTCAGTCTTCTTCTTTGTTATATGGTTGAATTGAAGAAGCTAAGGGAGAGATTTATCATTTCTCTTAACTTTAGCTTGCATTACTCTTTGCTAAGAAATAGTAGTTTTTTTAATGTAAGAATTATTTAAATAAATAAAGCAGTAAGTAATGTGGCTGGGTTTTCAAAAACTAGAGTTTCTTTTTTCCTTTCACTAGTTTTTCTCGATTTTTCTCTGTTTTGGATGGACTTGAATTCTGTTAAGTAAAACTAGGAATATCTAATAATATTGTTGTTCAATGAGTCGAGATATATATTGTTGATTGCCGTTATTTTAAGGATTTGGTTGTATGCTCCTTTTCTTTGTGATACTTGGTGGTGTTCAGTAATAGATCTTTGTGCCATTGGAAGCGAAGAGATGATGATTATACTATAACTAACTTCTTCTTGTTGAGTCCAACTTGTACAAGGCTAAGCAATTCTCTCAACTTGTATATATTGAACTCACCAAGTTAGTGTGATGAATGTTTTCATTTTTAGACAAGTTTCGCCGTCACCACATAGCAAGCATTCTCAGCGCAGGCATTCTCCCTATTCTTCTCTTGATACTACCAGTAGCAGGTATGTCACCATGCAGTCAATAAAATTAGATTGTGTTAATGTTTTTGAGGCATACTCAACCATCATCATAACCAAATGCAACTCAGGTGAAAGGCTTTAGCTTTCAAACCTTTTACTTCACAGGCTGTCAAGTTCAACTTATTAAAAATTATTTGGCAGGGGAAGGAGGTCAAGATCCAGATCACCTGTGTGCCGGCATAGATGATTAGATCAAAGAATCTCTTGGGTTGCTTTGTTTTGGAGGAACTCAGGAAATCTGATTTTCCCTAAACAGAGACTACTTCAAATCTGCTCTACACTGCAGGCAGTTGAGTAGTGTACTTAATGACTTGCTCCAATGCCAAGTAGGTGAATGCTTAGGAGAAAAGTTATGGTCCTGTGCAACAACATAGGATGATGGCATGTCTAAGATGTGCCGGCATTATATCGTCTTTCAAAATATCTCTTCCTTTTCTGTTTTTTTTTATAGTCTTTCAAAATACCCATAGTTGTAATCCTCCCAGCTTTCACAGCCGGAGGCTTGTACATTTTGTAGCTATCACTTGCTTTTATATTTTATGCAATTATACAGTGCAGTAGCAGTCCTAGACTCCTAGGACTGTTCTGATTTTGGCTTTGTTTGAGGATACTGTGTATAAATCTTTTTTTATAAAGTATTTTATCTAAAAATATAAATTTATAATTCTTAACTAATTTTTGAAAAGTCAACCGGGCCTGTGGTCCAATTGGTTGGCCCCCAAGCTTTAGGGCTTGGGTGAGGTAGATGTCAGGGCTTCGAGTTCTGTCACCGCCGTGAACTCCACCAACTTGCGACCTAATGGTCGCGCGCCTCAAATGAGGGGGTGGAACGTTTACTTTCTCGAAAAAATTTCAACTACTAACAAACTAACTCTACTAACTTCCTAACCATCTACCTGGTCAAAAAAAAAAAAAAAAAA